CGCTACACGTGTAAAGCAAAATGGACGCTTGTTTGTATAATACGATATTATGCTGTAAAAATAAAAAAGTCGAAGTGACTGTTGATAAAAATATTATGGAAAGATTAAGAAGGATTACATCTTACGAAATGACTCTGAAAGTTATCTAAAGAATAAGAAAATACTATATTTTAAATATAATTATATATCTTTTATCTCTTTACTTTGTTCACATTTATCGAATGATAAATGCTCGATTCTTTATATCTCTTTATTTAAATATTGTAGTTCTTTAACTAAAGCATTATTTTCGGCTGTAACTGGAATTAAATGCTTTAATTCCAATTAGATTATGGCGTCCATGTTTCGCTCCAGCGAAAAGCGTTTCTAAACTATGATGCAGCGACGTGTAGCGATAGCTACTCGTGACGTCATTTACGCTGCACTCTCGCTGCATAAAGAAACGCAGCCCGACTGGACTTCTTTCGGATAACAGACGTTTCGGATAAACAACGCTCTACTGTAAGAGTTTACGAATTTCCTTTGAAATTAGATATGACCTTCAGAATGAAAAATAATTTCCAACCTCTTCAATAACCCATATTTTTAGTACATGTGGCAAACAAATTATTCAATAAAAATTGTTGAAAGTTTAAAAATAATCTTTTCATTGTTATCAATAAACATGAATACTTCATTTCATCCTATTCACACGTAATTTAACTTATAAAAAATAAACCATATTAAAATAGAAAACAAAATAGTTCTATAAATTGGAATTTTCAATCATTTTGATATCAAGTCAACATATTACCTATGTACTGTACAGTACACACATCAAATTTTATAAATGATTAGATTTACATGAATATCTGTACGTATTAAATGTTTGTTTTTTTTTTTTCCTTTCATTCAGATTTTCCTCCATCCCTATTTCCTCATTTTCAGTTTAATTGCTTTCACTCTTTTGGGTTTGAGGATACTAGGAAAAGAGTAACAGTATCGGCAACTCTCCATGTGCATTATAAGTTGCTCTCGTTTCATGCTGGTAAGCCATTCGTATGATGTCAACGATACTTCTGGTGTGGTTAAAAACAATGTGTTTTAAAATGTTTTTTTCTTCTTTTTTTCATCCTACAGGACTTGATATTGAAAACTGTAGAACCTGGCTTTATATCTTCAAAGGAAGAATGACGAATGACGCATACAACGTCCCAGATTTATCATTGATGGTAACGTTCATTACTCTGACATGGAACAGTTGTCCTGATCAGTAATGTTCTGAGTCACTGTTTTTATAAATTTTTAACGATGCAACATTTTAAAATATTGTATAACAAAAAATAAAATCTCTAATTCGAAAATAACAAAAAAATTACTGTTTTGGAAAATTATTTTTTTTTTCTACTGGGTTTTTACAACAGGAAACAATACCCCCCGGAATATTTTTTTATAATAAAAATAAAATTGTATATAGGAAGATTTTTTTCTCAGATAACAAAGATGTTAAAATATAACTATCAGCAGTTAAATCTATACGGTATAAGTGACTTTATACATTTTAGATGTTTTTTTTTNAAAACATTGCACAATAGGAACAAAATCTTCTACTGGACACCTCACCCACTGCAAATTTAACTTTCCTAACTTTAACAATTTAATTCTATTTTGAGGGCTGACGTCCACCACCCAACTAGATGTGGACCTGTTTCTGTTTCCAAGAGGGAATCTTACCAAGAAACCCTTTTCAAATTCCTCAAGTCCAGTATTATTGTCCTGCAATATTTCATTTTGTTGGTACACAAACTTTGAAATCTCACCTTTCTCTACATCCTTAGGTACTGAGTGAATGATTACTTTTGGTGTGCGTTTTTTAGGCTCACGAGCAGTCATTCCAGGAATTTCGACCACTGCCTTTTGTAACTTTAACTTATCACTTGCCTTTTCAACTTCAATGGCAATAGCCCCATTTCGTAATTTTCTGAGTCCTCTAACTCCAATCTTCAAGGCCTGAGGATTAATTTTTTCTTTTATTGTCATCTTAGTTTTTTCAGCATCACTGTCTCCTTCTGTAGGCTGCACAATAACCACTTCCCTTGGCTCCACCGCCCTCTTATTAACCAAGGGGGGACTGGCGACCACTTGCGCAAAAGATCTTCCTCCTCTTCTTTCTTCTGCAACCTTCAGTTCTTCCAAATTCTTCTGTATGCTGGACACCATCTTCTTTAGTTCTTCACTTTCAGTTAAAAGTTCTATAATTGTTTCAACTCTCCTTAATATCTGGGGAATATGATCCCTTGTCCCAATTTTGGAATGGGCATTAGCCACAAGATACTCATGCAGTTCATCTTGAACCTTTTTGGCGGCAATGACCTTATTGCCGAGCGATCCATCCTGCCGACTTGGCAGAGACGGAGTTGATGCCTGTGTCTCTTCCACAAGCCCTTCTTCTCCCTCTGTCCGGGCGAGAACCGCAAAGTGTGGTGGCTTACTTGCCATCGCACACAACAAATAGCCTTGAAAAAGGCTTTTAACAAGTCGCAACTACCTTTGGCTTCCCTAAAAGGTACTAACAGGCCGCACCGCGTGGAGGTAGGTAGTCACTTTCCTAAGAGCTCAACGATAAAGCATGAAAGATCACAGAGAAAACGCTCCGGAATATTCGCAAATAAACGCAATCGGAAAACTCACAATGGGACCAGCGGCCCACTTTGAAGTACAGTCGACACCCCTATAACACTGTTGATTATTTCGTTTTATATAAATTCCATGTTGTACGAGTCACTTAGATTTTACAAATACATGAGCCGTTCAGAGCCCGGCACACATATTTGTAAAATCTAAGTGACTCGTACAACATGGAATTCATATAAAACGAAATAATCAACAGTGTTATAGGGGTGTCGACTGTATTGATTTCATTAAACAAATCAATACCATCAATGTCTGTTTAACTACTCGAATCGTCTTTAAGCTTCAGATTTAAATCCTAACCAAGTTCAAGGCATGCGTCAATAATGCGATATAATAATTTTAGTATTGGACATTAATTTAATTAAATAAAAATTTCTGTTTCAAACTACTAACTTTAAAATTTATCACACAAATTACACACTTTGATAAAGAATTTAACAGATGGCGCCTAACGCTTACCTCTTAAGACAAATTGCTTTGGTTCTAATCATTTTAAGTAGCCATATTATAGCCCGTTATTCAGGCGATCGTTTGGAAGTTTTAAAGAATTTAACAATGTTCTATAATACTCTTGAAAATTATTTACCTTTCTGATAATTGTCATAACTTCTTCATTGGCGAATTTAGTTGGTGCCAAATTTTGTATATTAAAGGCTCCAAATTTTTACGAAAATTCGATTATTATTAAATCTTCAATTGAGCAACAAGTTGTTTTGGTATAATACTGAAAGTATTGAAAAAAGTATAAGATTCTTCATGATTTCTCAATGATAGGAAAATTTTTCAATAATTTTTACCTTTCTTTTGATAGATTTTATATAAAATCCTTTTAAAGGAAAGAATGCGATGTAAAAAGTTTTTATATAATTATTTCCTTTCATATTATCATAGATAATAGTCATTTTAAAGTATTTTATTATTTCTATTTTCCTATTTAGAGCTATGTACGCCACCGCGCAAACCTTCGTAGGACTATTGTGGAACGTGAGTATCCTTGGCCGTGCGAACTATACACCCTTATTGAGGATCAGATAATCTATCAAGAATTCAAGNCTTCAATCTTTTTACAAACGCTTTAAAGGAGGAGCTCTCATGCCAGTATTTAGTTTCTTACTTACTGCCAGGGCCGGATTAACCCACTTTGGGGCCCTAGACATTTTCTTCTTCCGGTCCTCTCCCGGCTCTTTCAATTAATAAATCTTGTTACTATTATTTCTAGTACTAGTATTCCGTGTTGACTGTCTGGCTTGTAGGTAGGTATCGATACATCGATACTACTATTCGATACTACTATCGATACACCGTGTACTATCGATACACGGAACTATCGATACACGGAAACTAAATACACGGAAACTATCGAAGAATACGAAAGAAAAGTGAGAAAATATTTTCTACATTTCATTAGTTTAGACGAATAAAACTATTTCCATATTTTGCTAAATATATACTTTTAATTATATTCTGATTTTTTTCTCCATGTCTGAAATTGTTAAATACTTAAATGTATTTAAAATAATTTATATATCGCATTGTAAAAATTGAAATATTAAATGGAAATCATTAAAGTCACTTAATTTCCTTAGAAATGACAATTTCTGTCTTCCAATACCAAATTTTATACTCGTTTACGTGATTAAATATNTATTTCCTTTCATATTATCATAGATAATAGTCATTTTAAAGTATTTTATTATTTCTATTTTCCTATTTAGAGCTATGTACGCCACCGCGCAAACCTTCGTAGGACTATTGTGGAACGTGAGTATCCTTGGCCGTGCGAACTATACACCCTTATTGAGGATCAGATAATCTATCAAGAATTCAAGACCTTCGTGGAACACCTGAAACTTATGCACTATACCACTACCAGCCCAAGTGGCATCTAATGGACAGCTCATCTTCTGAGTCAACAAGGACCTCTCCCCAAAAGGGACTCCTTACTGCTTCCCCCTTTTTTTTTCCAAGTCGGCCTCATCTGTCCGTCTCCTCAAGATATTACGCTATGAGCCTTCTCCTTCCCTATATATACAAATTGTTTTGCACGTGTATACCATTTTATTTCCAAGTGCTGAAGATTTATTTCCAATTGGAAGAAGTGGTCCATTTTCCTGGCCTCCACTTTCGTCTATTACGTATTTTTTTATGGGAACATGTAAGAACAATAGTGTATGCAACCAAACTTTGATCGTTAGAAGACCGTNGTGGAACACCTGAAACTTACGCACTATACCACTACCAGCCCAAGTGGCATCTAATGGACAGCTCATCTTCTGAGTCAACAAGGACCCCTCCCCAAAAGGGACTCCTTACTGCTTTCCCCTTTTTTTTTCCAAGTCGGCCTCATCTGTCCGACTCCTCAAGATATTACGCTATGAGCCTTCTCCTTCCCTATATATACAAATTGTTTTGCACGTGTATACCATTTTATTTCCAAGTGCTATCCAACAGCTCCCCTTTGCAGCTCATGTCCTCCTTTTTCCACTTTCAAACCTCCAACCATCCCACCTTCGTAATTTTTCCTCAAATCACTCTCCCTTCTTCCTTCACCCATCTTTCTTATCTTTTAAGGCTACACCTTTGAGTACAGCCTTTTCTTTCACATGTATGTATTTAGAGCTATGTAGGTAAATTATTATTATTTTTTTTTTAATATTCGATCCTACATTGGTGGGAAATATTCATTCTGTTGTTAAAACACTGAGAAGTCATTGAATAAAAATAAAGTCACTTCACAAAATTCTCGTAAACACGATACAATACGTGACTAAAATTTCTTTTGTTTTGTATTTTCCGTCTAATGTTAGTAATGGATTCCATGTTTTAAATAATACATTGGTTATGTGGGAACAAGAACACATATGCTTATTGCGTGTATGTGGCTAGACTAGTGGAATTCTGATGTAACTTTTTCCTATGCACTTCGGATAAATAATAGCATATTGGTAACAATAAATTTTTAAACAAGAGCAAGGAAAATGATAGATAAAAGATAATATGTTGTACCCGAGTAGAATAACATCAAATTTATTCTAGAAAAAATTTATGTTGCATAATGGCGATCTCCCACAACGATAATATTCCCTATATGCCNATGGGATGCACAATAAAGTACAAATTTATAAACAAAATATGTGGTATAAGTAATAGATATGTATATATCCATGGTGCGGTTTACTTTATATTACTTTTAAAAAATCAATTTTTAAAAAATATTTTCTCAAAATTGATGAAAAAACTTTATGGGTTAATTGTACATAAATAACCCCCGTTTTTTTGCCTGGACCGCATTTAATCAGAGACAAAGCTTTTATTCGTATTCTTTATTTATTTTATATGCATTTCGGGTGCAATATTTTCTTGTAATTTGCAACCCTCTTCAGGATTTTTACATTTCTATAAATTTGGTAAATTTAAATATTACATCGGTAAATTAATACAATAGTTATACAATGGTTAAGTAACCTGTTTTAAGTTTTAGATCGACATCTGCCCAGTGTTGATGTTATGTCCCCTAAGGCCGTTTCTCCTCTTTTTGTTTTCTTTTCCATTAGCTCCTCCCATTTCCTCCCAAACGTCGTCAACCTCCATTCCATCATTTAGTTTTATGGTTTTGCTTTTATTAAAGATTTCGAAGTGCTCTTTGAATTTTCGTAGATAGATATCTTTTTCTTTATGGATAATTTTTATACTTTTTCGTTTATTGTGCATCCAAATTTATTACAGTGATTTATCCACGGTGATTGGTTATAATTAAGTCTAATTGCTGCTTTATGTTTTTTAATTCTGGTACCGAGTTGTCTTCCTGTTTCGCCAATGTATATTGCTGGGTTCTTATATGTACATTTTATTTCGTATATTACACCTGTTTGGTTTAGTACTGTATTTCGTTATTTTTGAACTTATTGGTGTTGTTGTTGTTTTTAATTTTATTTTTTAATTTGGCTGCTAGTGTAACACCATGCTTACTGAAAATTTTTTTGTATTTTTCAAATGTTCCCTTGATATAGGGGAACGACGTATATGTAGTGTTTTCATTCTTATCTTTAACGTTGAATCTGTTTTTCTTAAATGCATTTATCATGGTGTTACACTAGCAGCCAAAAAAACGGGGGTTATTTATGTACAATTAACCCATAAAGTTTTTTCATCAATTTTGAGGAAATATTTTGAAAAATTGATTTTAAAAGTAATATAAAGAAAACCGCACCATGGATATATACATATCTATTACTTATAGCAAATAAATGTTGTGTTTTAGACGTAACGCTATTTGATTCTTTACATAATTGTTTTTTTTTAAATTTACTTTTACAAGCCTCAAAATAATTATTAAATTTTTAAATAATTTCAAAATAATTAGTTTTATACTTTTGGAAGATGATGTTCGCATCGAGCTTAAAATAAATGTTAAAAGTTCTTTTTTTAAAACTCTTTCCGATTTTTGGGCACTAAGAGGGCCTCTTTTAGCAAGCCCATTATGGATTCAGCCAGGTCCTCTCCCCCGAAAACATCCTGAAGGTTTTCCGATCCGTTCGGACTCGATTCCGGATCCCCCAGAGAAGCCCAATATAAAGGCTTAAGGACCTTATCATGAAATTAGTAATGGATTATCACGAGATTGCTTATGATATTCACCTGTAGGCAATATATAGATATTGTAGTCCAAAAAATCCAAGATATAAATATATTCATGATGGCAAAAAGTAATATTGTTATGTTGAAAGTATGGCCTCCCCCGGCGTGTTTAAAAGCGTATATTTTTTAATGTTTTTAGTGCTGAAAAATAATGCCCTCAGTACCTTCCTTCGATGGTGTGAAGATCGCACTGAAAAAATTTCAAAATTGCACGAAAAAAATTTTTTGCATAGAGCCACAATGGAAATCAGTGGGTACTATAGTACCCAGCGCGCCTAACGGAGTAAGTTTTATTAGCGCGACTAACCAAGGTGGGTGGATCTGATTTACAGTTTCGAGAAAACGCTTATTGGTTGATATCGAGTCAGTCATGATAGAAATGACCAATTAGAGCATAAAATGCGTAAAAACAGGATTTTTAAAGCCAATAAACGGCGAAAAAGTTTCCCATATACTTAACATTGACAGTTTGAAAGGTGGAGTTTTTGGCGATATTTATTACTAAATGGTGTTGAAAACATGTTTATTCGTCTAAATACTGTCAAGCGACTTATCATTAACAAATTAGAAGTGAAAAAAACGATTAAAACACGCGATTTTATAGCGATTGTTTACATACTTCGATGTGGTAGCCTTCGGGGGCGTGTCATTTCGCGAGAAATTTTCCAGCAATTGTTTTTATAGGTGGATCTAATAACAGACATATAAATTAACCAATTACAGTGTAAAAGAAGTTTACTATCGATGTTATCTGCCAATAATCTCCATTTTTACCTCTACTTGCTGTATGATTTTACATGGTGTATTTTTGGAAATATTGAGTTATTTTTGGCCCGGGGTTTGGTACAAAGAATTTAATTGTTGTAACAGTTAAAAAACACATACAGGAAGACGATTGACAGCTTAGATAGCATCAGACTTGTTTACAGTTTGTAAAATACACTTTTGAAGTTGACAATTTTTTTTTTTTAATTTCTAAAAACAGGAGACTTTGTTTTTCGTTACGAATAAATAAAAACGATATATTTGAAGTAGTTTTTTTCACTAATACATCAAAAACACATGCCCACAAACATCCAAAATGAAAAAATCGCGAAAAAAACTATGAGTTTTGAAAAATTGAATTTTGAAACAGCAATGATAAGGATTCCCGCGCGCCTAACCGTGCGTAAGAAACCTGTCGCGCGTAACGCCGGGTTAATAGTACAGTTAACATGTCCATTTACGAAATATATGTCCTATAATTAATTATTATTTGTCCTACAAAATGCTTCCAAATTTATTTTGTTTTGTTCATATTGCTTGAAAAAGAAGAAATTTCTTTTTATTTCTTGACGTACCTGCTCTGTTTCTTGATGTTTTGAACGATAATAGCGAGGTTGTTTTACGTTCACGTTTCAGAGATGAAAACTTCGGCCGCAACATCGCTAATGTCTTATCAGAAAACTTCGGCGTTGGTAAATTTTAATGCATAACGCACATGGGAGGCGATCTCTCTCATGTGAATGCACGTGAGCAATCAGCCGACATCTTCGTTCAGAAAGTTCTCCACATTCTTCACATTATTTGTTTTAAAAAATTAGTTGAGTAAAAATAATTAATTAACTTAATACACGTGAGTTAAATCGCATCAATTGACTGGCGCCCTGCTAACCGGAAAGTACCCACTTTTCAATAACGCTTATTCATTTCTTTCACTTAACACAGCACAGTTTATCCTCCTTACCTCCCGAAGACCCTCTGGCTGTGATTAATTAAACGGTCTTATGTTCGGAGAAGCCCATCGTCGTACAACCGCGATATTAGGCCGCACTGTCAGAAACGACGATGGAACCAGGGGCGATGTATCTGAGCATGTGGCTCCAGAGAACACGTCGGCTCTTGTTGTCCACCTGAAAGAATACGAGAAAATATAATACAAAACTTCTAAAATGCACTTATTATTTTTCTTGCGGTTTCGACAGAAAGTTTTCCAACAGCTTCACGCAACTTCACACAAAACTTCCACTAAAAAATAAAAGGAAATGATGTTTAGCTACTACTTACATGCCAGTACATCACCTCCCGGGTTTCCCGACAATAGGCACCGAATATAGTTATTTGGGTGGGTGCCTATAGTTACGCGGCCACGGTTGTATTTTCGTATCCGGGTGAAGGTTTCGTCGATCTGAAAAGGAAAACATATGAATATTTTCGATATTTCGAACTAATTTCAAATTCGAATTTTGGAATACACGGCGCTTTTCTTACAAAATACTTATAAAATTCAAATAACATAATTACTATAATACTGTATTAAGAATTAAAATAATCAAAGACAATTTAGAATTACAGCAAATAACTTATGTATATAAATGAGGATGCCTGTTTGTTTGTTATACACTCCTAGGACATTCGACTAATTGCTACGAAACTCCGCCGTTACGTTCGCATACTTCTAACTTAGGTAATGTCATTTTTTGCTTACTTATGGCCACACAACACTTTGGCTATCTGCCTATAGGATGCCTTCAGCGAGGTCTTTTAAGGGAAACTGGTCCCTATTTAGGCGCTATAGACGTGAATGAAATCCCGAAAACTCCACGTAGCCAACCTGTCGGGGCGAGGCGCTGAACTATAACCGAACTCCGTGTTCAGAGAACGGCCAGAACAGGCCGGATTGCCGAGCGGTCAAGGTGGAAGCCAACCACTCTGAAGGACCCGGGTTCGAATCCGAACGGGTCGAAAAATCCCCAGGAATTTATTAAGGGTGATCCGTTCGGATATGTCGGGCCCCCTCCCTCACCATCCGGAAGTCCCATTGTGGGCATGGCCGAACCCATAATGGGCTTGCAAAAAGGGGCTCTCTTAGTGCCCACAAGGCGGAAAGAGTTTTTAAAAAAAAGTGTTCAGAGAACGAAGACCGCATGGCTACTAATGGGCCTAGATAACATCGTACATCCCACCCTAAAATATCGATTTAATTCCTATAAATCTATTAAGATCTTTGGAAAAATATTTATAATATATAACTAAAATAACTATATAACTTTATAAATTATAAACCTTATAATATAACTAAATAGAAGGATGACATTAAAATAAAATCATTGCTGGTTAACACAAATCTACAAAAAACCAGGAAATTATAACCGAAACATTTACAGAACATCTTAACTGTGCGTGAATCAACCTTTAAAGCTAAATTCGTCTAAAAGAATACTAAATTCTTTAGTACTGAAAAAACAACTGCGAATAAATCTATTACACTATAATGAACTTAAAAACTTGTACTTCTGACATAGATAATTTAAATATGGACATAATCAAAGTAATTGCAGGTATCATCGCTACACCTTTATCCTTTCTGATAAACTAATCCTTCGAAAAGCAAACATTTCCGAATAAATTAAATTATAATTTGATTATACCTATACGTAAGAATAAAAAGTCTAAAAACGACAAAGAATATTACCGTCCAATTATTATCATCCCCGTGCTGGTAAAAATAATAGAGTAAATCTTCTATAAAAATCTCATGCTGATAAGCAAAGTTTTCCTCTGTTATACGGAGGCAAATAATAGGCTCCAATCATGTCTTGATAATTCTTTGCATTCGTACGACCATTTATATCATCCAGTTTTATTTATCCACTGTAAAAAAGCTACCTTCATCATGCCAGTACATTCCTTTTCAGTCGCAGCGAGGGACGATATAGCGTCCCGACTCCCGTCGGAACATCGCCCCGTTCAGCGCAGCGAGGGAAGATATTAGAGCCCCGACTCCCGTCGGGATATCTCCCCATTCAGTCGCAGCGAGGGACGATATAGCGTCCCGACTCCCGTCGGAACATCGCCCCGTTCAGCGCAGCGAGGGAAGATATTAACGCCCCGATAGACGTAGCGATAGTACTCTATTTAAACTATAAAGTAGAATAAAATCACTCACATTATTAATTGTATTCTGATCTTTCTCGAATTTTCGAATTTTAGCAACTTTGTTCATATTTTTCTGCCGTTTTTTTCGAAATTCTCGGAAATTTGTATTCATTCGAACTTTTCGAATTCCTCAATTTTATTGTGCGTTTTCGTTTTCTTTCTTTATTTCTTTTTATTTTTTATTCTAAACTTTTCAAAACACAAGGAATTATCACAGAAATAAGTATTACTAATTTTATTATGGTAAATACTTTTTGCACCATTAATCCAATAATTATTATTAAGAACTAGGCTTTATATAAATAGTAGTAAAACAAAATAAAATCATTTTACTTATTTCAACACAANCCCGACTCCCGTCGGAACATCGCCCCGTTCAGCGCAGCGAGGGAAGATATTAACGCTTCGATAGACGTAGCGATATTAGTCTATTTAAACTATAAAGTAGAATAAAATCACTCACATTATTAATTGTATTCTGATCTTTCTCGAATTTTCGAATTTTAGCAACTTGGTTTATATTTTTCTGCATTGTTCGAAAAATTCCGGCAAAACAACAATGCAATTGTTGTTTTGCCGGAATTTTTCGAATTTCTCAATTTTATTGTGAGTTTTCGTTTTCTTTCTTTATTTCTTTTTATTTTTTATTCTAAACTTTTCAAAAAACATAGAATTGAATGATTTTAATTAATTAACGGAAAATTTTGAAGAACGATTCGACGAGAAGGAGTTCAACAATGATTTAATTTTATTGTTGATCTGTTAACAATTGTTTAAAAATTGCATTGTTGTAATGACGTCACGAATGACGTCGATCGGCGTTTAGTCTTATAATTCGTACAAAATTTAGATTTTTGAAAAATTAAAAAATTATATTGTTGATCTGTTAACAATTGTTTAAATATTGCATTGTTGTAATGACGTCACGAATGACGTCGATCGTCGTTTAATCTGGTAATTAGTACATAATTTAGATTTTTGAAAAATAAAATATTATATTTTATTTATGCAAGTTTAAATGACA